CGAACTGGATGGCATGTGTCCCTCAGCAGTTTACCATTAGCTGAAGATGTACGTTTCTTGGATTGGAGGGTAAACATTAATTATTAAATAACATTATTATCATCAGGAGAATATATTATAACCGAATTATAACCAGAAAACTTTCCTGAACTCGGTCCTTTCGAACTGGATGGCATGTGTCCATCAGCAGTTTACCATTAGCTGAAGAAGTACGTTTCTTGGATTGGACGGTACAAATGAATTATTAAATGACATTATTATCATCAAGAGAATATATTAAAACCGAATTATAATGAGAAAACTTGCCTGGTTTGGGTCCTTTCGAACTGGATGGCATGTGTCCCTGAGCAGTTTACCATTAGCTGAAGAAGTACGTTTCTTGGATTGGAGGGTAAAAATTAATTATTAAATAACATTATTATCATCAAGAGAATATATTAAAATTGAATTATAACGAGAAAACTTGCATGGACTGGGTCGTTTCGAACTGGATGGCATATGTCCATCAGCAGTTTACCATTAGCTGAAGAAGTACGTTTCTTGGATTGGAGCGTAGGGGACAGCCTAACATTTTTATGTTTATTGTATTTTATGTCGTATTTAAAATCACGACGTTTATTTATATGACACAGATGTTTTCTACATATACATTTACATGCATATGCACATATAAAACCTATGACTAAATCTATTGCGTATTAAAACTAAAGATGCCAAAATAATTATTATTCTTACTGACCGTCTAAAACTTTGGCTAGACACCCGTCAAGGTATTGCGGTTTGTTTTTGGACTATTTGGCCCGATATCAAAGTGCAAAAATATAAACGGTTTTGTTATGCAAAAAAGCTCGTGTGGCGCTGTACACAATATCGAAAATAGACACCATTCCAGAGAGAACTAGATATGTTTGTGTTGTCGTCCAAAAAACAAGAGGATTTTTATTTAAATTAGGCTCATAGGTATAAACAAGATTGATATTTGTTTGTCAAAAATACATATTGTTTACTATTTTTAGGCTGTAATTGTGTTTGTATATCTTTTGCGACCAAACGTGGATGTCTGAGATTTGTAGAGCTTTGTTTACTATAGTTTGTCATTGTATTGGACATAAGGTGTTTACTTTTTTCTAGTTACTAATAATAGATATGATATGGAAACAAACTACTGTTACTATTGCCACTACTCGCTGACGAGTAGGGAATGCAATCCCGCAAATGCGGGATCGAAGTTGCGGGATTTACCGTGTGGGATGCGCGGGATCGACACATTACTAGTGGGTAACAGAATCGATCTCGATCAAGGTCAAACCTCTTCGTTCCGGAGCCGATGGGTCGACGCTCGGAACCCGGGGGATTCCCCTTACGGTTTGGCCATTAAAAATAAGTGAAACAAACAGGTTAGTTTTTAGATTTCTTTCTGGCGTATGTTCGTAAGTAAAGAAAAGCGGTTACCTACGACTTGTGGACAATTTCGTCAAAAAAACTGCCGGACATAATTATCGGGACAAGCAAAATTTTCGGGTAAATTTAAAGTTGAATATCTCTTGAACTAAAAAAAATTTTGGGATGCACGGTTTCAGATGAGCAAGGTTTTAGATGCATCTATTAAGATGCTATGTGGTTTTCAAAAATATATTTAGCGAATTCTCGTATACAGGGTGTTTTATAAGAGTGTGAAAATTTGGCTAAGAATCTTTTTTACCGCAAATTTACAATTTTTAAAAAATCGGAATTTTTACCAAGTTCGACTGGAAATTAGAAAAACAATTTGATCGGTTCTTTATTTTTTTTTGTTTTAAGGAAAATACGAGGTTTTTTCGAAAAATATGCATTTTTAGTCCTATACGCATGGTCCTGAATGGTAGAAAAAGCTTTGTACATTCTGCATATGCCAAAAAATTATTGATATAGAGTGTATCTAAAAGCAGATAACTAACACAAGTTAAAACAAACTTCAACATCAGAATAATATTTTTATTTTTTTTATATTAAATATATTTTTTGAACACCCTGTATACATCGTTCCAAATTTCTGTACAGCTAATTTAAGATACACGCTATATCAATATATTGTGGGCCTATGCAAAATGTACAATGCCTTTTGTACCATTTAGGACCAAATGTATGACTATTGTTTACAGTCCCGCAATTTTGCGGATTCGCGGGATTGATTGCTTTAATCCCGCGGGTTTGCGGGATTGAGATTTTGGTGCGGGATTGCATTCCCTACTGATGAGTATTTGACACGCATCAGAAGATGGTTACGCATGCAAGGCTTTAAGTTTTCATGGAAAATATTTTTGTATCTTTTGAGTTTTCCACCCGGTTTTTTCTCTTACCGTCTACAAGCTCACTGTAAAGAAGAGATTTCGTAAAGAAGAGTATTTGACACGCATCAGAAGATGGTTAGGCAAGGCGTTTTCTCGAGACGGGACATTGAAAAGTCTCCGAATTTTGAAACAAAACAAAAATGAGACCAAAATGTCGCAGAAATGTATTGAATTTGTCGCAACTTTGTCGTAAAACATGAATCTTTTTATCTTGTCGTTGTTCTGTCTGCTTGGTCTGGGCCCGGCATAACACCCACTGATCTTTCTTGATCTTTGCATGATCATTCATGCAGTTTGCTGTCCACTATAATAATAAATTTGTAATTTAGAGGTTAGTGAACCACGATATATATGAAAATGTCGCAGAATAATAGGATAAAAGATACGTCATAAATCTAATTAAACATACAGAAAATTTTTGTAATTGATGATATCACAAACCCCGGACAACTTTAACTTGGTTTCACTGCTGCCAAAAAAATCCATATTTTCGAAACCACAGCCGACAATGACGTCATTAGAAACGCGCAAATGACGTCACGGACGTTCAGGGAATCGGGACAGAATTGCATTAGTCGAAAAAAACACAAGACGGATAATAGAGCATGTGACATCAAAGTGGCGTTTTACATGGGAAGGGAAAAGCATACAAGTTGCCAATTTTTAAATATAGATAATGAGATGGTTGTCGGAATATTTTGGAATAAGTGTTTTTGGAAAATTTTTGATGCCACTGGATGCCAAGTAACTAATAATGTTTGTTTCGCGGTTTCGTAATTAGGTATATATGAAAAATATATGGATCATAAGTGTTTTTCTGGATTACAAATAAATTACTACTGTTTTTAATATTTCCTATTTATTTTAATGCTCACGTAAATGGTGGATCTTTATCAAAAATATGTTGGGCAACACAATATTTATCTGAAATTAATGTCTAAACCTTTGTGGCTGGTACATTTCTTCACTGAAAAAAAGGATCTCTCAGTCGAAATGAATATGACTTTGACTCAAAAGATTGGCGCTTTTCAATTGGGCCAAGAACGACGTTTCTTTGCCCAAAGCATTAACTATGTTTTCATAAGCTTTAAAAAATTACTTTAGGGAATAGAATAATCTATCTGTCCAAAGCATTTCACTCTTGACCCAAAATGAATATGCAAAGAAGTTCTTGCTACAAGAACAATAGTCCCTTTGATTCATGCAAAAATTCTTGATTGAAAAGGGACATTTCTTGATTAAAGAGACACTTTTCTTAAACCAATAGCGAATAATATTGACTCAACTAAAATTTATTTTGATCTAAGAGAAGTCTATACATCATATACAGGCATATTACGAGGTATATTATTTTCTGATAAATTTAGGTTTTCCTGGTCTTTACTTACTACAGAGTAGTAAGTAAAGTGATATTATTTTTCTCGATAGTAGTTATTTCTGCTTCTTCACTCCTTGGGGTGGTTCATCACTCTACAAATTACAAAAAAATGTTACATCAGGATTAATCAAAGTAAAGCAAATAAATTATTAAAATTATAAGCTTTGGTCACATTTTGAGTTTTTTAATACGACGACTTGAAATTCTAAAATTTTTTTAATTATTTGCATAAAAAATTGATACCTATATTCTTATTCTATCTATAGTCACGCATGCATTATCTAAACAGGTTCATTATGTAAATGTCTCTTACCTTCAAATATGTATAGCAAATAAATGGCCTAATTTCCATTTTTTGAGAAACTCCTTTAAATAATCCATATATCCTAAAATTTGTCCATAACATATAAAATGACAAATGCATGTTAATAACGATCACTAATTTGTTATTCGATATGCGTTTAAAAAGCAAATTATGCTAAATTCCAAGCAACAAAACGCGTGCGTACTATGATGTGCGACCTATGAAATGCGACGTATACGACTGATCGGACTGCCGACTGATTGTATACCGTACTTCGTCATCGTCTTTGCGTGTCGTTATTATTTTTCATCAAAAGAGTATTTAGCTATTGGAAAAATGGCCATGTTTCTTGAATGAAGTACTTCCTAGCGTATTTTTCTTATTATCTTAAAACAAAGTAACTTGCACTTGGTTGAATGAAAATGGATTCAAGAGAAATTTTCGAGAAGAAGAGAACCAGTTTTCTTGAGTTAAGAGAGTTTTTCTTCAGGCAAAATATTTTCTTTTACGCTAAAATAAATTCTCTTGCCACTAATTTTTGTTTTTCAAGAACGATGACGACTTTAGTTCAAGTCTATCTTTTTTATCAGTGTTGAAAAGTGTTATCTCTCTTCCGCACTCCGGACATTTAAAAATCTCATTGCTTGGTTGCCTCTTTACTTTTTTGGTTGTCGCTGTTAACTGAGTTTACAATTCTTCTCCATTGCGTTCTATTGTGAGCTGCTTTTTATCACTCGTTCTGCATGTTAATCCCCTTTAGTTTTCTAAGATACCAGTTTTAAAAAAGTCTTGTTATTATCATTTCCTAACAATATTTTGGCTTTTTTATTACACATATTTCAAGGACAAAAGAGAGCTTGAAAATTGAAAAAAAAATGTTTTTATTTTATTGTTATTTACAAGGAACGCACGTCAAAACAAAAATTACAAATTCTAACCAATTAATTTGTTTACTTATTTAATTCTATTTACATTTTTTTATTTACAGATTCCGATGTATCAGATTTGTCTCACCTTGGTAAGTAGTAACTGAATTAGTGTATAGAAATACATATTAATTTTGGTATAAACTGTTTTGTTATAAATGGAGCAGAAAATGTAGCTCAGAATCCGACTGGTTATACAGGGTGAGTCTTAAATAAGTGCAAATATTTTCAAGACTGGTAGATCTCGATAAAGGAAACATCTTTTTACCGTTTTTCAAATAAGTCCTAAATAACCAAAATATTTTACTTTGAAAATACAAAAAAAATTTGCTTAAATTTTGAGAACCACTGGATCTGTTCTGGGTTTTGTTTCTTGTAAATTTAATCTACTACCTATGTTGCCATATTATAAAGATATCTATTATGCTTTTTGACTAAAAATTAAAAAAATTCCAAATTTTTTTTCAAAATATTCCAAATTTTCATTTTTTTTATATACAAAACCTGCGTAAAATATTTGCACTTATTTAAGACTCTCACCCTGTATAAACCAAAACATGAGATAATCGAATATCTAGGTATGTATGCAGAGTTCCATGCAAATATTTGTAAAAAGTCGGCAGGCTGGTTATTGATAGACTGTGACCAGAACTTTAACCAGTTTTTGACAGTAACCGTAATTGTCAATAATTTTAGTTAGACATTATTTCTATGCCAACCTCGAAGTATTATATTAGGCATTCCAGTAACGATTGAATGAAGAATGTCGGAATTTTAGGATTTATTTTTTTAATTAAAATTCAGGATTGAACTGGTAACAAAACTTTCAGCATTTGATTATAGGATATTAAATCAAAAATTTGATCCATTTAAAATGTTCAAAGTTTACTTAGATTATTTTAGCTGATGTTATAAAATCAAACAGAAAAATTGGAAAATCCACAAATTAAAAATTCCATTTTTCATGATTAATACTGAATGAAAAATGAAGTAATTTCGAAGATAATGATTTAATAATTTTTCTATTTGTTTTGCTACATTAATTATATTTCCGTTTCTTGTATTTTCATGATGTGGCGGGAAATTCAAACCAGGTGCCCGCAAATGTCATTAATATCCATCTGTTTTAATCTATCAAATTGTTTATAATAAAAAACGAATGATAGATTTGATGTTAACTGCAATGCTAGATTTAAATTTCTAATGCGTCTGCCAAGATTCCAGATTTATATTCAGTCGGTTATTATTTTATTTTTAAGTTTAAACCAACATACTGTTTTAATATTTGTAATTGGTCAGTATATGTGTAATTTGTAACGGTCATATCATTTTTTTTGTTTATAGTTACAGTTCAACTTTAATATCAGTAAGCATTCAGTTTTTATAGACAAACAAAATTATATTCAATAAAACTTCACTATCAAAATAAATAGTCTTTATTAAAGGATTTTCAACAACTTTCAATGCAAATAGCCAAGAAAGTGGTATTCCTCTTTTTTTATTAACCTATATAATAATTCAGCTATGCCCTATATAAACTCTATCTTCTGTAAAAAAATATCCTGAATTATCTATATTGCAATTGAGCGTTTGTTAAAAGGGTAGTTTAAATTTTTAGTCAGTTGAAATAGAAAATCGTTGTAAAAACGTTTTATCTAAAAATTTGAAGCTCGTACAAGAAATAAAATCATGGTACGATTCAAACAAATTGTAAACAAAATGATCCTCAATTTTCCCACAGGTTGTTTTGAAATTAATACAAAAAACAACATCTTTATTTAGACTACAAGGAATTGCAATAAATGGATCTACAAACTGTTAGAAAATTCATGAAAATGGGATGAAGAAATAAGAAAGTTATAAAGCAATAAGTTTCACAAAAATTTTAGGATAAGTAGCGGAATGTTTAACACAGTCAAGTTTTTTTATTAGGATTTACTTTAAGGTGAAAATTTAAGATTATTGTTGGGGGTTGTGGAATCTTTGGTGTTAGAACAGCGAAACAAAACACTTTACTTTTTTTAACACAGGACGCGTGTTTTGTCAACCATGTTAGCATCAGCTGATATATCTGCAGTTTTCTTTTTAAAGGAAGATCAATAATCAATCGTTTTAAAATATTTTAACATCCACTGCCATCTTTGACAAAGGATACATTTTTACGGGATTCTCATTCTCGATTCATTCTCAGCCTGGTTCCATCCAGTGTTGGATATAGGCCTCTTCTAGATTTTTCCATGCTTCGCGATCTCTAGCCAATCTTATCCATTGTCTTCCCGCCACTGCCCTGACGTCATCGACCCATCTCTTTTTTGGTCGGCCCACACTTCTTGTTGTTCCCCTAGGTCTCCATAGGATGACTTTTTGGGGCCGTCGGTCTGGATTCTGTCTTGCTACATGTCCTATCCATTGCCACTTCAGACTTGCCACTCTTTTAACAACATCTATTAATTTTGTTTTTTGACGTATGTGGGTGTTCCGTATTTTTTCCCTAATGGTGACTCCCAACATGATTCTTTCCATGGCTCTTTGTGCTACTCGTAGTTGTTTCGCTGTTTTTCGGGTAATTGCCATAATCTCTAAGCCATAAGTAAGCATTGGTAGAATGCAGCTATCGTAAGCCTTTTTCTTTAGGTTGATGGGCACCTCTTTATCCTTGAAAATATCGCTCCTATTTCCAAATGCTACCCAAGCCAAATGGATCCTGCGTTTGATCTCCGTATTTTGGTTCTCCTTACCCAGCTTGATTTTATGACCTAAATATATATACCTAATGGTCTACGTTTTCAATAATAACGTTGTCAACGGTAATGTTATGGATATTGTTGCTCATTATCTTGGTCTTCTTTAAGTTCATTTTAAGGCCAATTTTCTGGGATTGGTCATTTAGCTCCTTTAGCATGGTGTTCAGTTCTTGAATGTCGGTGCTCAGCAAGACAATATCGTCTGTGAACCTAAGATGGCTAAGGTGTACCCCATCGATGTTTAGACCTCTATTGTCCCATCCTAATTTCTTGAAGACATTTTCCAGTGCCAGTCTAAATAACTTGGGAGAGATGATATATCATTGTCTCACGCCCTTGCCGAGTGGTATTTTTTCTGTTTTGAGATCATCATCTAATTTAACCATTTAGCCACCGTTCTCGATTAAATTTTAAATTTATCGTAATATTCTTTTTTTTCTAATATAACTACCTTTTTCCCTTTTCTGCTTTTAAGTATTAGAAACAATCTTTCTTACGCAAACTCTTGACTAGTTCTAATCACTTGCTGATGATGCTAACATGGTTAGCGAAGCGCGTGTCCAGTGTTGGAAAAAAAAGTAAAGTGTTTTGGTGTGTTTTATTTTGAAGGAATTTTAACGTTAAAAAATATATAATCTCAATCATATTGAACAGCAGAACCGTCAATTAATTCTTGAAACCGCCTAATCGAATTTAATAATAATTGATCAATTAAAGCTTCGGAACCAATTTAAACTGGGTCCCGAAGTCCATCGATGGATTTTTTAATTAAAAATTACATTAATAAAAAAAAAATCGGCGCGCAAAGTAGGTTCCAATCAGATGCGAACCGGCGCCATAGCGACGACAAGGTTGTTCCTGATTGGATGTTTTTTTGTACTATAAACAGGGTTGTACAATGTACTCCAGACGTATTGTACTATACGAAATGTACTAATACGAATTTTTAAAGTTAATTTGATGTGAAAAAACGTTTGCGATATTTCAATTCCGTTTTTTCCGCTACTGGGTGAAAATCTACAAAATAAAAAAGGTATTTTTTGTAAACTACCTACGTCTACTGGATCTGTGTCTATGAAAAAAATATAGACAAAAATATTTAAATAATCAGCAATATATTCTATAAATCGCTACCTATACAGGGTGTCGCAGAAATAAGTGCAAGTATATTAAGGGGTGGTAGATTTCTATAAAAGAAACATATTTTCTCTTTATCGTTTTTCAAATAAGTCCAAAATAACTAATAAATTTTTTTTTCGTGAAAAAAACCTCATAGGCGTGTTACTGGGGTTGAACCATACTATCAGTTAAAATACTTGCACGTATTTCTGGGACACCCTGTATAGAAGCGGCAGAGAGTCCACATGGACTTGACGAGTATGTCACCTAAAAATACTCCGCCCACTCATTTCATTGGCTATTTGCAAATTTGTCGAATTTTTATTGATGGGACGCGTCGTCTAATTTTTTTTTTACGAGAAACCGATTAAACGGTAACAGAGAATATCTTTTCCCACCTTACGGATGCCCCGTAGCTACAGAACGGATAGACGTACTGTAAACACCACTGCGTTAAAAAAATCAATCGTTTTTAAGTTATTTAAGATTTAGTTTTAAAGCCTGTGTTTTTCTTGATTTTCTTCGACAAGTAGTCTATGACTTTAAACGTCAAGCGTCGCAAAACAACATATCTGGTCATGTTATATTGTGACACTTTGTTGAAAAATCAGTATGTCATTAATCGTTATTTCCATGCCAACAATGCGCCGGTTTTTTTGGATCATACAGTATAGTTATAGTTAGTATTAGCCTGGGGTACACACATAATGTTCATTTTCACTCTTGCTCTCGGGCAACGGCCCAGCTACGTCGAAACACCGGTTCCCATTAGAACACCGAAGTTAAGCGACGGAAGGCGATACTAGTGGATGGACGGGTGACCGGTTCGAAACTCGGTATCGTGTTGTTGTGCAATAAAGGCAAAAGTGTAAAATCTATTGACACACACTGCTCATTCACGCCGGTTCGAGGCCGGATGAGATCGGATATCTCGTGAGTAAGAGTCGATTTAGACACTTGCCAAGTCGGTAGGCCATTGACCATGATATGGCCGAGGACCGCGGTTCGGATTCCGCGTAAACAAAGTAGGCCCCGTCCAGATTAGCCCTGGCAGCAAAAAGGAGACGTTAACTGAAATATTTACTTTACTTTTACTCTTGCTGTCATTATTTATCAGATTTATTCTAGCGCGTCGCCTGATCGCTTCGTTCACTGCTCAGTGGAATCTTAGATATAATTGGTCCAACCTTCCTCGGGACATTCTAATAGAGTACGATGTACTAAGTTAG